CGAAGTTTCTGCTTAATATTGCAAAAAGTCTTCAAAAAATCCATTATTACTGTGTTTTGGGCAAAGAAAATTGTTCGGAATAAAACTCCACGTTTCCAAGTTTGTCGACAGCGATTCTTGCTCGATTCGAGCTCAATTTGAGCTCGATTTGTTTCTTGCGCCTTTTTTCGATTTACGCACCCAACGCCGTCGGCCTATAGCCACCGTATTAAATTATTGTAACAAAATTTTACGACTTTTGTTTCTTATTTTCACAAAATTCTTTTTTGGTAAATCAGTTTTATCAACTAAAAAAAACCTTCTCACGGTTACCGCCTTTTTTGGGAAATCAGGTTTATCAACTTTAAAAAAAACCTTCTCACGGTTACCATATGAAAACAACCTACGGCTTGTTGTATCCAAGTCCACTACCAAGGAAACTCCTGCCGCTTTTATTAATTAGCAAAATGGGTAGGGTACCGCTATAAGTGTCGGTTTTATTGCAGGTGACCTCCGCTAAATTCAGGTAGGGGTTGGAATTAGGATTAGTTTGGTTTGAGGGTTCGTGTTGGGGTTCAAATTCTGATTAGAGTTAGGAGGGTCAGGCTTGACGTTGGTATTAGCCTTAGGTTTGGAGTTAAACTAAGGCAAAACTGACCTGTAGGGGTATCTAAATATCTATTCCTCCAGCCCAACTGCCTAACGCATTTTGTGGTCAAACATCTAATTCTTGGCTAGTGGGTGTAAATGAATATTTAATTGTGGCGGAAGTGGTCAAAATTATTAAATTAAATAAGACTATCTCTGTTTTAATATACTAAAATAGAATGAAATTTTATCAAAATGTACTCCAATTGCGTTGGATACGGATGCTAACTGAGGGAAATTCGACCTTCTGTCGGCGTAATTTAAAGAAAATGGAAATTCGACCTCCTATTGGTGGAATTTGACGAAGAAAAAGGAACGTCGGGCTATTGAAACTTTAAAAGTAGTTTTTCTATAATAAGTCGACAGGATTAAGAGCCACTAAAGTCAGTCCTGCCTAAACTAATTAGGGAAATATGCCCCGCCTGCCTCCCCTAGAGGTTGGCATAAGCCAACTGCAGTTCTGTAGGCCTTCCAAAAACATAGGCACGAAAGACAGTACTCAGGGCTGCAGGTTTGCATGAGGTTTCTTTCTGTCTATTATTACTTTCCCATTTTATTTTCAGCTATTGCTTTAACACCACCAAATCTCCAACTTGGCGCCTCACGCTTCATGTACGCCACATCTGTTTGCCGATCCTTCAACTTTACGATCCGCAAGAAAGTGGCCGCAGTTAATTTCCCAGAACTGGAGGTTAGTCCAACATTTTAATTCAGTACAGGTTAAATGAAAATGTTTAATCTATTCTGTGGACAGTACTGCTGTGGTAACAACAATTGTTTAGTCAAAATGAACAAGAGGTAGAAATTTTGACCGCATGAATGTTCAGGTTGAGTATAAAAAACCAAATGCTACATGGACGTACATACAAAGTGGAGTCCCCAGCCCAAAGTATGAGTGCTACAGACTTCGAAGAAGTGCTCGCACGATGTGGGCGTGCGGTGCATTGTGCGGTAGGACGGTTGGAAATAAGAGGCCAGTTCGCGTAAAAAACGGGTTGAAAGACCCTTCCAAAATAGTGATTACGGTGAAAATGTAATTTAGGGTCTACCACGGCTTATTTAATTAGCCGATTATTTAAAATGCTCCAATAGTGCCCAACTGGAAACAATAGTCGACTCTATATCACCTCTCCATAGAGGTGATATAGGGTTCTCTTTGATTTGTTTACAATCAGGAAGCAGGGGTCTACCGTTTAGTTAGCAGTACGACCATGTGCAGAGATCGAACTGACGTTCACCTGATCGCTTGTCTAATGCATACTCCATCTCCCTGATTGCAATTAGGCACGTCTTCATTCAAATGTACCGCTTCTCACGAGTATAGCTTGCCTTTTTCTCTCGGAGTGGTGTTTTCGCGGCAGTTTTAACCATGGGGACCCTATGCTCTACGACCTTGAGACCGGGTCCTGACGCCAGTATATAGGGTATCATATTCCTTACAAAGCGATAAGAGAACCGGGAAAACCGGTTGACTGTCGAACTAGAGCGGACATCCGGCGCCGCAAGAGTATAAGAGGGCAGGCTTCCTAGCATCTCGAATTTACCTAACCGTTTTAGATAGCCATGCCTGGCTGAGAACCAAATTGTAACTGCTCCGCGCGAGAATGATAACGCCGCAACAGGTTCCCGGAGCAGGTCTAAAACTGTGACCTACGGGTCAAAAAGAAGATGCAAAGACCTTCAACAAAAACTGGCTCTAAAATAAAAAAGACTTTGGATCCGAGGGTAAAGCGTTATCTAATCATGAATTAGTAACACCCTAAGGCCTGACTGGGAACCGATCTAGCTGGAACATCACCTTTGGAAGCCCACAAACCATCGCAGTAGTAGGACACGTAGATGTCTCATGCTTCTAAATATGATTTTCTCGAATGCAGTCTTGGAATCTTAAATGCGCGTAACCATACCACTCCACAACAATGTCATGCGCCAAGCAGCCTTTCAGTCCAGTTTTTGAAATACCTGAGATCTACGGCCCGCGCATGCCAGTTGATAGTGACAAAGGTTGATCGCCTTTCCGAAAGCAGCGATGTGAATCTGGGCACAGGCAGTAGTTGCTTGCAAACTGCAAATA